TGCCTGGATCACCTCACATTGTAAAGATCGCAATCGGTGGGGCTTTCATGCCTCCGCTCGGCTTCAGAGTTGGTAATTACCAACCAACCAACCAGTCGGGGCTCGGACAAAGGTCAGCTCACCGTAGTTCGCGGCCCACATTCCGTGATGTGATGTGTCCGGGGCTTCCGGTTCCATTTCTTCATTTCTTGCCGCCCCATTCACACACACAAATTTTATTCCGTGCCGCATTGCTTGGGTGCGAAGTAATTGGCTGCGAAAATGCTGCCATAAATCAAACCGATAATTATGTGGGCGACTGCGCAACATTTTGGCCAGGCCAAGCCGAGCTCCGCATCAACATTCACATCCGCATCCGCATCCGCAGCGGACAGCTAATTTTGATTGCCATCCATAAATTATGATTTGATGTGAGAAATAGTCGGGAAATCGGGAGCAGAACAGAGCAGGGTATTGGCCCTGGACGATGGGTGGTAGGTGGTAGGTAAATGCAGCTCAAGGTCGTGAATTTATTTTCACTTGCTTTCTGTTTTCACTCTTTACCCCACCGCACTTTATCTCCACAGCTTCCTTCTTCCGATTGGTGTGTGTCTGCAGTCGACCTTCGTTTGGCCGGCGGCGGCGGTAGCGGCGGTAGCGGCGTCCTTGAAGAGGCGTCTGGGTCTGCTTCTGCCTGAAAGTGAATCTGAAACAGGAGCAGTAGCTGGAGTTGGAGTTGCCCTTGGACTGTGGCTGTGGATATGGGCGATGTGCGATGGGCGATGAGCGAACAGTCTCTGGCTGTGGCATGATTAATTGCTCATTGTTGCGGCGGCGGCCATATCGTAAATTGCTTTCACGTCTCGTGAATCACGTGTCAACCGCACGTGAATGCCATGAATAAGAGACGAGCGGAACGGAACGGGATGGAAGGGAATGGAATGGAATGGAATGGAGCCGCATGTAACATCATTGAATGGACCGGCAATGAATGGAGGCCAACGGCGGGACAATTTGCCGAGAGTCTCGGCTCATCTCTTGTCATCCCATTTGAACGACTAAGGCGTTCGTTCCGCATTGTTTATCTTCCTCTCACTAGGATCACATCTGCCCCTGTTAATGTTACATTATTAATGCATCTGCATGGAAGCGCCTCCCCAAACCCCCTCGTATGCAAATTAAGGGGCGCCCAGGCAACATTTTACCACCCTTCTCTCCACCAGACCACTAGACTAACCCGAAGCACAAAAAATAGAATTGAAGACAGGAACAGAAAACCAAAGCAACAGCAACTCGTGCTTGTCCCTCCCCAGCAAAGTGGAGAAATAAGTGATAAATGATTGAGAGTGTATACTCGCAGCCGTATGCCTGGTAAATCCCAGATAAATCCCTACCCAAACGAGATGCTACGCTCCGCAGAGCTCTCCCTTCGATCTTAAAGACGCAAGCGATTCCTATGTAATTTGTACGAGTATTAAGGAAATAAGTTGGCACAAGGTATCTCGAGTACGAGTATCTCGTACAGCCACAGAAATCTAAGCGCCAGTTCTGTGTAAGTGGATGGCTACAATTTTAATTCAAAATGTAACAAAGTTAAAACAAATTCTTCAAAATGCGTCGTTTCTGCTGTCGTTTAGCTTTTGTAAAATCGAATTAAAAAACGTTTAAAGCACACATAATTTGTCATACACAAAATATAATTATCATACTTCATTTGTAGTTTGCCTTTTGGCTCATATTCACAAACGCGCTTTGAGTATGAATATGGCATAATGTCAAAATGGTTCTCATCACAACACAGATTGAGTGATAATGTTCTTGACTTCGAGTCGTTATTCTCCTATAACTCCCAGGTGGCACAGAGTTTTAACTTAGACGACCATTTCGAGCGCCATACTTACGCTGCTTAGAACGTTAAATAAATAAGGATTTCAGTTATTTGTTAATTATGCAACGATTTAATCGTGTAATAAGGAGCATTTGCAATGGCCGAGCCGGTACACACAACGACTACTGCCTTTGCGTATCGAAGACCCTCGAATATGGCTTCACACCACAAAAAATGCTGGTGGCGGCCATATGACAAGTGGTCAACAAATAAAATATGCCTCCATTCGAACTAAAGTGAGTAATACGAGTATGTTAATAAAATTAAATTGCGTGCCCGCTGATTCATTTTCGTTAAACCCAACAGAACGGGCCTAGAAGAGCCCTAGAAGAGAAAGAATGCCAATGATGTGTGCATAGGGCAAATAATACGATTGGTAGCTGTAATCCCTGTACACATCCTTTTTCGTACACGTTTGTATAAAAAGCGAATGAACTATGTTCACATGCTGTCGCTGTAAAAGAAATTCCTGTACAAATTTTAAGTGCTTCATTCAATAAAAAACTATGCTGTGTATTTTTTGGTTTTTTCTTATAAGACATCAGCAAGTTGGCAGCCTTGATTGTTAGCTGGAAAGTTCAATTCTCTGAAGCCCCTTCAAACAACCAGATAAGATCAGGTCCTTGGCACTTCCTTCTTTGCTCTTGCTTCTTTACAATACATGCGAATTATGATTATAAGTTTTCAATACTTTTGATCAGAATCGAACGGCTAAAAAGCTAAAAAAGGACGATTAGTCGGGAAACAAGTTTTGTTTTGTAATTCCGTTCCTTTACGGCAATTAATACAATGATTGAGCGGGCAGAAATGGTCTGCTTTGATGCATGTACTCCTATTTGTATGCATTTTTATGGCTGTGAAGAGTGCTTCTTGCCGCTCGGATCTACCCCATATATCTCATGCAATTGGGACCCACACAATTGAAATTGTTCTTGGGGGACGCGCAATCCCAGATCGCTTTCCTTTCCGTTTCGCTGCCAGCCTCATAAATTGCTCCAGGTGAAACCAACCGTAATCATTTGTGCTTGTGCTTGTTCCACCTGAACTGCGAATTGCCGCCAAAACAGAACAACGGACTCGACTCCGAGTCGGGACAAGAATCCATTGTGTGTGTCGGGGCACTAGGTAACTGGCGCCTCCTTCAGTGCTCCCCCACTGCGGTTCGGTTCCAGTTATTATTGCCGTTGCCGTTGCTGTCGCTGTTGCTGTTGCTGTTGCTCTGGCTCGGTCTACGGGGCAATAGCAATCACGATAATAAGCATAAATAAAAAGGCCAACAAAAAAATTACACAGCCATAAAAGTAACCCTCAAGCAAGTGTAGTCCCTAGCCCCTGGCCAATAGTCACTAGCTGGGGCTACGGCAATCCATCCAGGCCACCAAAACCCAGACCCAAACCCAGACCCCGGCCCGGGATCCAGGATCCAGGATCCAGAACAGCGACCCAAGTTGGTCCGAACGGGGAGAGGGGAGAGAGCAGGCAAACAAATAAACAAACAAACGTCGAGAATGAGAACACAAACAAGTTCTGTAGTGGGCTGCAACCGCTGAACAACCTCGTAAAAACTTATTTAATTTGTGATTTATATGAATAAAATTGTGTAGTAAATTCTCTGAAATTATTCATTTCGCAGCGCTTACGGGCGGGTGGACAACCAGTCAGCAGCAGCAGAGAGAGAGGCACCAGCAGCAACAAGAGCAACAGCAACAGCCGCAACAACGCAACAACGCAGCAAAGAAAAATGGAATTGGCTAGCCGGAGACCGACTGAACTCAGATGGAAGGATGATATGGAATGAAAATAAGCCTGAGGATGGGACTGGGACTGGGGACTGTGGACCAGTGAAAGGATAAACTGAGGAGCAAGACCAAAACAAGGGAATGAACAAGGGGATGGGACACCGATGACGTCGCTGTTTTGGAGCCACGGACCCCCCTCAAACCCCGCCTCAAACCAACACCAACCGAAATAAAACAAACTTTTTCTTGCTAACCAAAGGGTTTCACATTTTTGATTTACCCTCGGACACAGTCGCAACTTTGCGCATATAAATTTGGGGCAAGCGATGGTCAGGTCAGACAAGTTCTTTGTATTCCCAGCTCTCGCTCTAAATTGCTGTGGCCTACTATGTCCAGCACTTAGTCCCGTCTGGTCCCACGGACTCCATTCACCATTTACCATTTACCATTTGCCTGCTAAGCAACCGCAATTCATTCTTTAAATTAAGAGAGATTACTTTCAATGAAAGCTGGAATTGTCCCTTGCAATAAGGATATCTAAGGTTCCTTGGGTGCGGAGTGGACTTAACAATCTGCCACTTTAGATGGGCATCTGCATTGGCGGACAACCAATTAGTCCTTACAATTACAATACTACCAAAAATCCATTAAAAAGGTACCACAATAACCATTCCAAGATCCCTTCATTTCATTCATATTCCATCTACAAAGTGCCCCAACAGGCGTTGAATGTGTATCCACGTAAAACGTGCAGTTTAAGTTACTATTTCTATCCACATTGCACATCTTCAAATTGTTCCATCTTCATAAAAATGTTTCTGAATAGCACAAAAATGGGAAAAATACCCACTCCAGAACAACATTTACTGAAAACATTCCCAAAACGACTCTCGTTTACAGTTATAATATTAACTGAAATCTGTGAAACATTCTTCACCATAAAAGGAAGAATTATGGTCAAGCGACATCATTATCAGAGTAACCTCATATGATGCTCATCTCTCATGTGCCCTATTACTCCCCCTTTCTTGGCTGTCCGTTATATTTTTCTGTTGCCAATTCTATTACCGTTCTATTCTATTACTGCACTCGTTACTTGTGAGGACAGAAAAAGGAAATTAAATTAGAACTCAAGTGATGTAAATGTTAATTTAAAGCCCACATATACTACACACAATATATCATAATAATACCAAGAACCACCAGCATTCCAACCGATAGCTTGAGAGTCATAGCCACGTAGCCATGAACCGGGGCCAGATTGGCGACTTAGTATGTTCTACATCCGTCGATCTGCAAGCGGTCATAGCTATCGACGGCTCCAATCGGGAGAAGAAGTGGGAGGCATCCAGAGGGAGTAGCAGGAAGTAGAGGTATAGAGATTCAACACTTACCGCACGTGCATCGCAACGGAGACCGTGGCTGAGAAGGTATAATCCCAGGAGCGGCATCACCCAGCATCGGGGGCCGAACTGTTGCGGCGGTCTCGACATTCTCGCAGCGCTTAAAGAACCTCTCTGTCGACTGTTTACTTGTGGATTGCTCAAATGATTCCCACCTTTTTCGAGTGCTCTTTAATTTTTCACTATAAAAAACAAAAGGCAATTCTTCATTAACGCAGCGCCACGAAATACGTAAAAAATACGTATTTCATATTTTTTATTTTTGTATTTTTATAGTTTTGCCTGCTGTCTGCCAGCCCCTCCTCTCTCCACCCAGGTCCGCTCTACACCCTATGACTGGTGCTTGTGCGTTGTTCGGGGGAAGGACATTTGCCGGCGCCTTTGCGGCTTGTTTACTTTCACTCGCAAGCGGAATCGGAGTCGGAGTCGGAATCGGACACACACAAGCAGGCACCGACATACACGGACATGGACACAGCACCGGGAACCAGCCAAAAGAGGACGATATAGAGCGAACCCAAGAGCAGGAAGGAGACGAGCACGGAAAACGAACCGAACGCGCACGCGGCACGAATTGTTCTGACGCCTTGACGGCGAAGCGGCTGCTTTTCAATGTCCGCCATCGCCTTGCTTGGGCCAGACGCAGCGAAATAAGGCGAAATGGGGCAAAATGGGGCGAAATGGGGCGAAATGGGGCGAAAGGACGAAATAGCGAAAAAGCTTTTCGGCGAAGAGCGACAGAAAGAGAGAGCGCGCTAGAGCCACTATGGAGTTTATAAAATGTACGTGACTGTGGCCCGCTTCACGCCTGAAGTATATGTTAAGCTTTGCTCCTGGTGGGCTCTTCCTCTACCCCTCCTTCGGGGCATTTGGCACAAAATGCTCAAGGACACTTGCCCCAAAACTCATACTCCTTCCCCCCTTCCCGCCTCGGCCACGGACAAGGACTCTCCAGCCGTAATGCTTTCATTGTGCAGCATTTCTTTTTTTTTTGCCTGATTTGTTTGGACGTTTTTGGTTAGTTTTTCCTTCTTACTATATTCCCTGCTGTGTCTGACCTTGCCGCACCACTCCCAAGACAGTCCACACCCAACCCATACCGATCCACCCCACTCTCTTTCTCTCTGTCTCTCTCTCCCTCTCTGATTTCCTAGCTGGCACTATAATTAGAAATGTGTTCGAGGTGGACAATGGCCGCCACTTAAACTTTACGCGCTCGATTTCACTTCTATAAGTTTCAGTGGCATAATCCCTGGCCAAGCCCATTTCACTCCCATTTCTATCATCCATCCACACATTTCGCTTCTCCGATTTCCCTGTCCACGTTCCCTTCCAATGTCGCTGTCGTTACCGTAGTTTCGTAGTTTACGGATTACACTTGTCCTGCCACACTCTCCGGGTTTTATCCACATCCTGACAAACTATTCCGCATACACTTCAATACGGTGGATCACAGACACTGGGAGAATACAAGTATCCTCCTTCATTGAACACCATCCAAATCAAAGAGGGTATTCCATATTCGTCCCATGCTTATACCTAATGGTTATTTACCCTGTCGTGGCACGGAAGACAGGACGTTGTCCTTCAGCTTCTCCTTTTGTGCTTGCTTCTCCTGTTGTTCGGAGCCGAAGCTTCTTAAGCCCCTTTAATACCATTCCTAATGATTCCGATGCGCTCTCGTAGCAGCCAATCCTCCATTAGCGCTACTTCGACGACTTAATGGCGCACGTAGCTTCCAAATGGAAATGCGAGGCGCTGCTCAGTAGGCCTGGACGCGTATGTTAGCCGGTAAGTAGCACTCCATATACTCGTATGCACACATGCAAACTAGCTTAAGATATTCGTTTTAATATAAGGGCATAGATATATCGTCCTTTGAGAAGATGAACTACGATATTGAATTTGACTACATATTTTAGTAAAAGTTGTATGACATATGTGCATGTCTTTTTCGAAAATGGATTGAAATTAATCTGTACAGATAGATACAGTACCACTGCTGTGCGACGACTAAGCAAAAAGAAAGACGAGTCCATTATGATTATTGCAGAGTCTCATATGTTTTCCCTGAGCATAGAGATGCCCTGCAATTGAAACAGCTGAAACCCATGAATTCAGGTGTTCAGAAATACTCATACTAGCAGTGACAGAATGGTACAGAATGTCTATAATGATGGGAACCATAATATAAAAACGCCAAATAAACGTAAAAATGCAATCGAAATTCATTTCTTGTTTAATTGAAATTCACCGATCCTCAAAAGCTTTTGATTTGTTCTATGAAATTTCATATGAAAACCGAGCATCGCTTGCAATTAAAATGCGAAAACTCAATTGAAAATAGTTAAGCAAAGGGCTGGTTTAGTTCCGTAGGCTTGTAGATATGGTAGATATGGTAGATATGGTAGATATGTATGTACATATGTATGATCATTCTCAATGATTCTGCGCTTTTGGTTTTCTCGTAACACCAAAATTCTGCTTGCTACAAATTTTACCTGTTTTATTAAGCGAAGGGGAGAGAGACAAAACCTTGAAACAAACATGATTCAGTGTGACACCACAGCAACCTGCACATAAAATCCGGCTACAATATCTCTTATAATCTCTGAGGCTTGTACTACAAACACGACGGACGGAAAAGCATATGCAGATACCTACTCGAATTAAACATACCTCGGATAGAGGGTACACAAATGAAAATTCAACTGCATCTGCCTCACTGAAAAAACATAACAGAGGCAGATATAATTTTGCATGCTACCTCCACTGTCTTGGTCATTAGTAAGAGCCTTAAGCAGTAGGCCACTACCCTGTTTACCGTTCTGGAATTTCTTAAATAACACAGTCACCCGCTTCGTTTCAGTCAGTAGTTTGTGACTTGTTCTTTTGTTCACATTGTAAGTATACATATTTCTGCTTAGCGCAGTGCAGCAATGTGTGGAACACCGCTTCGCAGTGGTGCTACGATCGGCCAATTCTTCGAATTCAATTAAGAAAATGTTCAGCGTCTGCAAGTGGTAGGTATTTGATGTGTTCATTTACCTTGTACATAATGAAATACATACATATACTAGTGGGGTAATTCCATGAAATAGCGCTGCTTGTAGTTTGCGCACCTACTAAAAGACGGTTGCTGCTCATAAGACTGCAGGTCCATTCCATTTGAAATGGAAATTCTCAGCCATAGTTAGCTTCTTGCTGCTACTCTCAACAGACATAGGAATCTCCACCGATGGTTCTGTGAGTATTTGTGAATAAAGTATTTTTCAATTGGTTGATCGACATCTTTGCTTGCTGAAGAACGATGGGACCACAGCCCCCAATGGTACGCCAGCAACAACCGATTCTTCTGATACTTCGGACCCACCGACACCACCCATCAAGAAGCGGAAGACAATTTGAAGACCTTGACAGATGGAATTTTGAAGGAGGTGGGAGCACGGAACGAAATGCAGAGCGACGCCACCTTGCGATGCATTCGCGTGACGACATTACCTTCACAATAATTTGCCTTGAAGAACAAAATTATTCTTTACTGTTGCTGCTGGAGTGGTAACCTCAGCCAGTTGATGCCTTGATCATCACTAGGAGCCAGGATGCCTTGATCATCAACTGGCTGGTGAAGCCACTGCAGTAGCAACAGTCCAGACCAATCTTGTTATTAAAGACAAAGCTAGGACCGGAGCCAAAGGAAATCTGGACTCGGACTATCTGCTGATAACATTTTTATAACGTTTTAAATATTGAGTAAAATTTAATTAATTCTTGGACTAATCTTAAATTGTGTTCAACTTTTTATAGTAGAATTGTTCTTAATAGACTTGAAGCCTCAGCCTAAGCCTGGAAGACGATTCATCAGTATTGGGATCTGCCCAACTCGCTCGCTGCAAAATTGCGGAAAATATCAATATTTACATATGTTTGTATGTACGTATACTTGGTTTATATGGACATGAATAAAGGCCAGAGGTCCAAGTGGATGGATACGTACCTATATTGATTCGGGATCCGCTCCGAAAAGGGTGATTTGGTCATTTAAGGAATAAGTTTTCAGAAAGTCTTTAAATACTTAGGCAACAGTTTCTTGTTTTCGTGTATCGGTTATGCGTCAGATCTCACATTTGATAATAGTTTTTGGATACACGTTCCGATACCTTAATACCGTTTTTAATTTGGCTTGCAGCTAATTTGCGAGTGATTGGCGATACAAATCCCCGTAATGCAATTAATTTTCTTAGAACTTGGCTATGGGATTTTCAGTGGTTCCATGGTGTTAGTGTAGCAATCTGTAAAGTCCCATAAAGGGGGTTGTCTATCATATGATTAGTGGATCCCCATCTAGAAGGGAAGTCCCACTGAGGTGGCTCCTAGTGTACTTGGTCTTTTAATATTTATTTCATATTTATTTTCAGCAAACGTTTGTTTTATGTCAGTGTTATTTACGTGTCGATGACCACCAATAACCCAGACACCAAATTGTGTAATCAATTCTTCATGTCACTTTTTGTTACATATTTTAAAGTAACACAGAAATGAAAGTTTTCCGCCTCTTCCTAAGGTTCCAAAGCACCGAGAGTTTGTGCTCTCTTTGTATTAATCACAAGTGCTACGGGGAAGAAGTGCGGAGAGAGCCGACTACCACTCGAGCTGGCAATTTGTTCGCTCTGCCGATTCTCCTTCATTGTTGTGCTGGGCTTATTTTCGAAGAAAATTGCATCTAGGCAGATTTTTGTGTAATTTCTTTGCGTCAGCTGTTTGCACCAAAACGATAATTATTGTTGCCCTGCCAATATTTTCCAAGCCAAATTTGAGGTTGGGTGAAATTAAAATTAATTATTTATAAAGAAAGCAAAAGTTAAATTACCCTGATATAGGTGTCAAGTTTATGTTAATGCATAAATAAGTCATCTGTGTTTTTCTTTTTGCAATTAAGGTACGTTTCGTTGTATAATAAGCCGTTTACTTTTCGTTTCGTCAACGAATATGTTTTCGTTTTGAAAACGAATAAATCTTTGGAATGTGAAAACGGGAGCTCCAATTTATGTGCATTCAGTACATCGGAAAACTTTTGTTATTTTTCTAGTAATTTACTTTTAATTTATATTCAAGGTCATTCAAAATGTTTAAGATCCTGTATAGAAATAGGAGTCCACAATTGCAAAAGGCTTACAA